AAAATACGGCTAATGAAGACTTAATATGGTTAAGATGTCCATTCTCCCCAAAATGACCTGTAGATTCAACACAATCCCTATTATAGTAAGAGTAGGCCCTTTTAAAGAAGTAGACAAGATGATTTGAAAATTTATGTGAGAATTTAAGCATCCAGAATAGCTAAAACAACCTTAAAAATGAAGAACAAGTTTGAAGAACACTGCCTGACTTAACGACTTACTATAAAGCTACAGTAATCAAGACAATGTGATATCAATGTAAGTATACGCAAATAGAACAAAGGAACAGAACGTAAAATTCAGAAATAGATCTCATGTATATGGTTGAGTTTCAACCAAGGGACCAAAACAATTCATCAGGGAAGGAACTTCTTTTTGCACAAATGGTGTTGGAACAACTGTATATTGATATGGGAAAATGTTAAACAAAGTCCTTATCTCACTCCAAACACAAACATTTATCTATATGAATCATAGACATAAATGAAAAAGCCATAATCATGAAGTTTCTAAGGAAAAAAATAGAATGTTTTTGGGACGCTGAGGTATGCAAAGATTTCTTAGAGGTCAGAACATAAAATAACCATAAAAGAAAACAATTTATAAATTTTGAAATTAGACACTTCTGCCATCAAAAAACATCATTGAAAAAATGACTTTGGGACGCCAAAACGGTATTATCACTTCAGCCCAGGAGTTCAAGATCAACCTAAGCAACAGAGTGAGACCCCCATCTCTACAAAAACAAAAAACAAAAAACAAACAAACAAAAAAAACATTAGCGGGATGTGGTGGCATGTGTCTGTGGTCTCAACTACTCTGGAGGCTGAGGTGGGAAGACTGCTTAAGCCCAGGAGGTCAAAGCTGCAGTGAACCATGATCACACCACTACGCTCCAGCCTGGGTGACCCTATCCCCCCCCCCAAAAAAAAAAAAAAAGAGAGAGAGAGAGAAAGAGAGAGAATGAATAGGTGAGTTACAGATTGGTAGAAAATATTCACAAAACATAAATACGTGTATGTCTGTGTGTGTGTGTGAGACAAAGGACTGGTATCCAGGATATATCAAGTTCTCCTACAACACAATAATTAAGAAGATAAACAACCTAATTTTTAATTTAGGCCAGAGATCTTAACAGGCACTTCACAAAAATTATGCAAATGACCAATAAGCAAATGAAGAAATGCTCAACACCATTAGCCATCATGTAAATACAAATTAAACCACAGTAAGATACAACCACCCAACCACCAGATAGTTAAAACTGAAAAGGTTGACAACACCACAAATATAGCAAAAGTTGTGGATCTGTTGGAATTCTTATATACTGTTGGCAGGAATAGAAAATAGTATAACAATTTTTTTTTAAGTCTGATAGTTTCTTACATGACTAATACACACCTACCCTCCTACCTAGCAGTTCCACCAAGAGAAATGAAAAAATACATTCACAAAAAGATTTGCATAAGAATGTTCATAATGGCTTTATTCATAGTTGTCCAGAACTGGAAGCAGCCCAGGTATCTATTGGTAGGAAACTGGCCAAAGAGACTGTGGATTATGCATGTAATGAAACATCATGGAGCAATGAAAAGGAGCAAACTGTTGCTTCAGAGAACAACCTGGATGAAATTTTAGAACAAGCAAAACAAATCTGTGATGAAAAACATCAGTTGTTGCCTCTGGGATGATGGGAGTGGAGACTGACCAGGAAGGAGCATGAGGGAATCTTCTGGAATGATGGAAATGTTCTATGTTTTATTTTGAATAGTTGCACGTGCATACAATTGCCAAAACTTACCAAACCAAACACTTGAAAATCTATGCATTTTTTCTTTATATCTAAAGTAGACCACCATAAAAACTAAAAGAATAGCTAGGAGGATGACACAAGAAATAAAGAATCCAGAATTAGACACAAACACATATGACAATGTAGTTTTTCTAATGAATGGGTAAAAATGGATTATTTAATAATGATATTTAGGTAACTGGAAAAAAGTAGGTTGAAACCGCATATCACTTCTTACACCAACATTAATTTTGAATGGATCAAAGATCGAAAGGTAAATAAATGAAATCATGAAAGTACTGAAGCAAACATGTTTCATTCTTTTGTTGTTCTTTGTCTGGAAAGGCAAAGGCCTTTCTCAAAATAATTCAAACCCAGAAGCCATAAAAAAAAAAAAAGATAAATGTGATCACACTAAAATTAACCACATCTGACTGGGGGGAAAATACCATAAATAAAATGGAAGGAAAATGAATGAACTATTATATTAAGAGAGACCACTCTTTTTTTTAAAAGATTAATAACCCAAGAAAAAAATGGGCACAGGGCATGGACAGATGGCTCACAGAAAGTGTATGCAAATGGCTTCCAAATACATGAAAAGATGTCCCCCTAAATTACAATAAGAGAAGATGCCAATACAAATGGCATGAAGTTACAATTTTCCCCAGCTAGATAACACAGATAAAAAATATTGATAATATCTTACGTTGGTAAGAGTGGAGGGCTCTCCCTTGCCTTGTTAATGGTAATATAAATTGATAACTCTTCGGAGGACATTCTGGCGATATCTATCAAATACAAAATTGCACTCACCCTGTGACCCAGGCATTCAGCTTCCAGGAATTAATTCAACAGATACACTTCCACATATCCAGAAAGATGAATGACAGAGATATCCATTGCATCCCTGTTTACGGTGGCAAATAATAGCCATCAGGAGGACACTGGTTAAATAAATGACTGTGCCTTGATATAATGGAATTCCTTGAGATTGCTAGAATTATACCAGAACAGTTGAATGTGGTCCCTCAGAACACAGACTCTAGAGCTAGGATGGCTGGCTTCTAACCCCAGCTCTGCCATTTACTGACTGTGTGACCTAGAGCCAGTTCCTTAACCTAATCTCTCTGTGCCTCAGTTTTTGCTGTCTCTAAAATGGGACTGGTAAGAATGAGAATGATGATAGTAATAATAACAGCAGCAACAACAATAGCAGCAATAATGCCACCTACCTCAAAACTGTGCTGAAAATTAAATAGGCAAATATACACAAAGCGTTTAGATCAGTGGTATATGGTAAGGACCGTGTGTGTTGGCTAGAATTATTACTGATCTAAAACAATTTCCAAAATATATCAAGTACAAAAAGACAAGATATGGTTTCAGTGATAAAAAATTGGAGACTTCAGGATAGTTCTACATACTTATGCTTGCATAGGCATGAAATATCTCTGGAAGGGTACATTTTAGAACAAGCAAAACAAATCTGTGATGAAAAATCTCAGTTGTTGCCTCTGGGATGATGGGAGTGGAGACTGACCAGGAAGGAGCATGGCATGAGGGAATCTTCTGGAATGATGGAAATGTTCTATGTTTTATTTTGAATAGTTACACATGTATACAATTGTCAAAACTAAAAACTACAAATTGCATCTGAGGAGTAACCAGCAGTGGGAGACCCAGTTCTTACTGAATAACTTTTATACTTTTACGCATTTTTTTTTACAAAGTATATATGTTATCTATCCAAAATTTTAGTATTAAAAAAGACAAATCTTGAAAGGAAAGTCCCTTGTGTTCTGATTATGGTGGTGGTTACATACATTTGTACATGAGTTAGAATTCATAGGATTGTACATCAAAAGAAAAAAGTAAATTTTCCTATATAATTTTTTAAAAATTAAAAAAGAGAAAGTCCCTTTGGCCTCAATACATAATACAGCGCGCAAGCCTGGGGGATGGGACACCAGCAAGGAAGTGACTGCGTTTTGTGGAGGAAGAAAGTCTTGGAGCCAGGGAAGGAACCACAGCAGCGGGAACAGAGAGAAGAGGGTTCGGGGCTGTGTGGGGAGACGCCTGGGCTTGGTGCTTCTGTGAAACACACGCTGTCTGCCAGGCACTGTCCCTGTGTTCTCTCCTCATCACAACCCCAAGAATGGCGGCTGCGGCCATTCCCAGTCTCTGTGTGAGGTTCAAATGACTGGCCCGGTGTGTAAGCAGCAGGGCCTCTGAACCTGGCCTGTCTGACTCTAAAACCTGTGCTCTTTTTAGCACAGGAGGTTCCTTTTCCCCCAGTAAATTAGATCCAGGGGAGTCTGGGAAGGCTTCAGAGAGGAGGTGACATTTGAACTGGAGCCTGGCTGAGTTTTTCTAGGACTTCCGTCCTGCGCAATCCTAAGCAGCGCCATTCACAATGCGTTCTCTGGGACTGGTTCTCCCTGAAGTTATGCAGTGCACATGGCAGCCATGGGCAGCAACTCTGAGTTCTTCACACAGAGATGGAGAAGGTGTATGAGGAAGATTTTGCTGTATTACAAACCACTTTCCAAATGCAGTAGTTGCTTTAAAACAGTTGGCTTTTACAGGCCAGCAGGGCAGTTCTTCGGATCTCAGCAGGATTTGTTCCTCTACCTGAGTCAGCAGGTGGGTCAGGTTAGGGTGATCAACCTTCCTGGTTTTCCTGGGACTGTCCCAGTGATAGCCCTGAAAGACCCATGTCCCAAGAGAAACCTTAATCCTGGGCAAACTGAGACAATTCGTTGACCCTGGTTGACTAGGGGCTCTCAGGTCTGGGTGGGCCTGGGCTGTGGCGGCTGAGGCCTCCCTCCATGGGGTCTCTCATTGCAGCCAAGCCCAGTCATTCTCACGGCAGCAGTGATGGGCCGGAACAGTGAAAAGAAGCATGTAGGGCCTCTTTCTTACAGCTGAGGCTGAGAACTGGCCTGTTGTCACTGCTGCCACATTCCGTTGGTCAAAGCAAATCATAGGCCAGCCCAGATGGAGGGGTAGGAAAATGGCACCACCCCCTCTCCACCAACCCGCTTGATGGGAGGGACTGTGAAGTCACATTGCAAGGGTCACAGATATGGGAGGGGGGTGGAGACCTGGGGCCAAGTGTGTAATCAACCTGTCACAGACGGGACGTCCTGACTCAGGTACAACACTAAACACAGTGACATCAACACAACTGTCCAGTGGAACCATAAATGCTTATTGTTTTAAACCAACAGGTGCAACTGGGAGGCAGTTTATTACACAACAAAATCTAACTGACGCACCTTCCCTAACACTTGTGATATATTTGGGGAGTGGCAGGAAGTTCAGTGTGGCTGGAGCATGGTGGGGCTGTTGGAAGGTGAGGAGAGAGAGGGAGAGAAAGAAGAATGGCTGGGGCCAGGTGTTTTCTCCTAGACTAGCAGGATGAGAATAGGAGAAGGACCATTATTCCTTTATACCGGTGAAAGACTGAGGCCCAGAGAGGACAGTCACGCGCTCAGGACCACACAGCCAGTCAGCACAGTCAGGGATTGGAGCCAGGACTTTCCCTGCCAGGCCAAGGGAGGACATGGGAGGAAGGAGGGGCTTGGAGGTACTTTTGTAATTTCTTTACTCGAGACCAAGAGGCCATCAGCTATTTGTAAATAAATGGGGGTGGGGGGTACTGTTAGAGATGGGTGGGTATTGAAATCACTGGAACTTCCCAGGGCACTTGTACTCCTGCAAGCCTGTGTTTATTTATTCCTTCAATTTGAATGATTTTTTTCCTTGGGGCTCCCTCTGTATTTTAGGTAGCAAATGGATCTGCAGGTGTTTAATGAGGTTGGAAAATAAAGGATGCAGAAGCCTTGACCAGGGTTCTCTTGCCTCCTGGGGAGGCCCCTCAGGCCAGGAATCAGGCCGGCTCTAGGGGAAGGGCCTCCCCAGCAATGTTCTGACCAAACCAGCCCCTGGCAGTCCCACTGACCGGCCACTAGTTTGTAGCAACTTTGGACTAGTCACTTCCCTCCTGGGACCTTGGGGTCCTCCTCTGTACCTTGATGGGGTGACGAGGTGAGACTCAGTGTGTGTGATAGGATTAGAGACGCCAAGGAGCATTCAGGCATTGTAGGCTGGAGGCCTGGTTTGAGCAAACTGGTGGTGGCCGGACCAATAGGGACCTGTGCAGGGGACATTACTGCCCCCAAAGTGGCTTAGAGGAAGTTGGTAGAGTGTGGCACCCCACCAGTGACTGTGAGGAGACAGCAGGGGCTCTGTGCTCTCTTGGAAAGGGCAGATGGTATTCTGTTTGACCAGCAAGCCTACTGTGTGCCCAGGGCTTACACATACCCTACATTGACCCATGGAGGCTTCTCTGCACTCCTAGGGGGAACTGTCAGCTGCCCCAGTGGACAGATGAGGAAACCAAGGCTCGGGAGGAGAAGCGGCACATCCCATGGCACACAGTAGGTGTGACACAAGGCAGCTGACTGGCTTCCAGGCTCTTCCCACAAATCTGCCGAGCTTCTGCCCTCCCAGCTCCACCTGCCAGGACTAGGTCCTCTCCGCTGGGCCTGCAGCTGCGTTCTCTGCCTCTGCTCCGTGGACTGACGCCTCACGTGAGCTCCCTGGCCTCTGGCTTCTGGTGGGTTTGCTCAGCAGGAAGGAGGAGCAGGAGCTCTGTGGGTGGGAAGGAGAGAGAGGCTGGCGGGTTCACTCCCTGGTTCCGTCCCTGCTGAGCCAGTTGTGTTCCTGTACCGAAGGCCACTGGCCCTCTTCCACTGCCTCGGCCCTCACAGGGCTCCAGTACTGCTGCCTGCCTTGCCCTGTGAGTCCAGGGGTGGTAACTGCTCCCCACGGTTGCTGTTCCGGGGAATTTAATCATCCCTTCACCTGTCATTAAACTCACTTCTGTCACACCTATGAGAGGGACCCTTGGAGACACCCTGCCCCCACTCCCAAAGAACTCCGGACTTTGTCACCCATACTTGTTCCTCTCCCCTCTCCAGCCTCCCCAGGCCCTCTCCTGTGAACAGTCCATCAGGGCTGGGAGGAAAGCAGGCTGAAACCAGTTCCCAGCGAAGCAGCATTCACCAGCATCTACTTCATACCTCCCTTTAATCCACTCACTTTTCTCTAAAAGCTTTTAAAAACAAAATGAACCTGAGTATTTTTTTAAGTATTTCATTTAGAATAGTTTTAGATTTACAGAAATATTGTAAAGATAGTTCAGAGATCAACTCACTTCTTAAATTTTATTTTAAAAGGAAACATTTCATTATTTCTGCAAATGGAAAACCAGCATGACTTGCTTCAAATAGACTTTAATCTTAAAAATGAACAGTGGAAACAACACAATGTTATTAAATTTTAAAAATTAAAATAAAGAATTAACAGTCCTATACAAGTCGTAATAAATCTGATTGATTACAAAAATGCAGTCTGTGCAGAGTTGGCTGGTGTGTGTGTGGGGGTGTGTGTGTGGGGGGGGGTGTGTGTGTGTCTAGGAATAAGACGTGGCTTTTCTCCATGGCCCGTGTTAATGACCCTGCTGAGAGCTCTCCGAGGAATGGGCCAACCATGGCGCAGCCCACATTTACGGAGCACCCACCTTGTGTGGGCTCTATTCCGACGACTTACATACATTCCCATTACAGCCTCCCGACCATCTGATGGGGTAGTACGTACACCATTATCTCTACTTTTTAGGTGAAGAAATGGAGGCAGGTTAAGTAACTGGTTCAAGGCCATAGCCAGGAGCCACATCAAGGTAGCTGGACCCCAAAGCCTGCACTTTTACCCACTGTGTTCTGCTACCAAGAGCTGGAAAACGGGGAACTGTCTTTAAATAGGAGTTCAACAGTTTTATCTCCCCCAACCAACTTTGTACCCTGACATTTCTCAGTTACACAGAAAAGTTGAAAATGTGCTCCTCCTTCACCTTCTGCCATAATTGTGAGGCCTCCCCAGCCATGTGGAACTGTGAGCCCATTAAACTTTCCTTTATAGGCCGGGCACAGTGGCTCATGCCTGTAATCCCAGCACTTTGGGAGGCTGAGGCTGGCGGATCACTTGAGGTCAGGAGTTCAAGACCACCTTGGCCAATACGGCAAAATCCCCTCTGCTAAAAAAAAAAAAAAAAAAAAAAAATTAGCCGGGCGTGGTGGTGTGTGCCTCTAACCCCAGCTACTCGGGAGGCTGAGGCAGGAGAATCATTTGAATGCAGGAGGTGGAGGTTGAGTGAGCTGAGATTGCACCACTGCACTCCAACTCCAGCCTGGGCAAGAGAGTGAGACTCTGTCGCAAAAAAATAAAACAAAACAAAACAAACAAACAAACAAAAAAACCTTCTTTCTTTTTTATAAGTTACCCAGTCTCCAGTACGTCCTTACAGCAGAGTGAGAACAGACTAATACACTCTGCCTCCCCCAGTTTGCTTTCCCCTTCACCCATCCCCACTGATGGGGAGCGGGCAACACCCTCCTCCTGGCTGGGAGGCCTAGGTGACAAAATTCCAAGCTGGACCAGATGGTGGCAAGTGCCAGCTGGGATGCAGCAGTCTCAGGGTCTCTGCCACAGACTCACCATGTCACCTTGGGCCTCGCCTTCCATACCTGCAAAATGGGGACAATGAACTTGCTCTGAGCCCAGGGATAAGGAACGATTCTTGGTCAGGTTGGCACACCCCAGGGCCTTCCACAAATAGCAGTTGAACCACCCCATCCCCTGGGGCCTCGGGCACAAATCAGCAGCAGAGAAACGCCGCGGGGCCCAGCTGGCCTAAGCACAGGCCGGATCATGGAGGAGCCAGGCCAGGGCCCCTGCAGCCGCCTAATTCCAAGCTGTCAGCATGATGCATGGGACAAATTAAATCCATAAATAAAAGAAGAGTGGCCGGTGGCATCTTGGCCACAACTGCACTTCTTGGCAAACATTGGCAGGGGATGGTAGGAGAGCCACTAAGAAGGCCCAGCTCAGCATCCTCTGTGTCCACCGGCCTGCCCCACAGGCCACCCAGAGTCCGGTCACCAGGCCTTCGCTTGCCCTTATTCCTGCCTCGTGTGTGTTCTCCCTGACTAGCTCCAGACACAGCCACTTGCTGCCTCAGCCCCGGTAGTTCCTGATGCAGGAGAATGGGACCTGGTGGGAGCCAAAGGGCTTCTGGTAATGAGGGGCTTGGGCCAATAGTCTGGGTTCAAGGCCCAGTCTTGGGGTGAGGGCTGTTCCCGACCCACTGTGTCTGGTACCCAATAAGTCAGGAGTGAATTAACATCCAGCTCCACTAGGAATCTCTCCTCAGGACCCTCATACCCTGCATAGTAACCACTCCCTTCCCATCCTCCAAGGCCATCATTGGACACCTCCTCCAGGAAACCCTGCTGGACTGACCCAGATTCAGCCACTTGACTCCCAGGTTCATAGGCTTCTCCCAAAGTGGGAAAGCCCTGGGCTGGGCCCGGCCCACCAAGAGCTTCCGTGGCAGCCTTGTTTAAAATTCCAGTGTTCTCCTTGCCTCAGCAGCCCCAGCCCCCATTCCCTGCTTTAGTATTTGTGCATAGTCCTTATTGCCATCGGTCATGATTTTCCTGATTTCTTTATTTTCTGGCTCCCCCCTAGAATGTAAGTTCTCTGAGGGGAGGGTCTTTGTCCTTTCTGCTTGCTTTTGAATCTCTGTGTGTAGAGCAGCACCTGTGTACATGGCCTCAAAAATTAGGCAACGGACAAATAAAAGGTAGGGTGCACAGCATATGCAAAGACTCAGGTGTGATCGGGCTTGGGAAAGAAGAAGGTGTGACAGATGGTGGGCATCCCAGAGCAAGGTCCTCAAGAGATGAGGCGAGGGGAGGAGAGCAAGGCCCAAATAGAGAAGGGTCTGGAATGCCAGGCCAAGGTTACAGGGTGATGAGGGCTATGGGAGGGTGTTAAACATTCATTCCATGGACAGGACACAGCCTGCACAGTGGCTTTCTTTCTTCTCTTTTTTTGCTTGTTTGTTTGAGTCAGCATCTCACTCTGTTGCCCAGGCTGGCATGCAGTGGTGTGATTACAGCTCACTGCAGCCTGGATCTCCCAGACTCAACTTTCAGAGTAGCTGAGACTATGGGCATGCATCACCATGTCTGGCTAATTTTTTATTTTTAGTAGAGATGAGGTCTCACTATGTTGCCCATGCTGGTCTTGAAGTCCAAGCAATTCTCCCACCTCAGCCTCCCAAAGTGCTGGGATTACATGCGTGAGCCCCTGTGCTTGTTTTTATCAAATTGGTTGCAAACATTTAAAAGATAAAAGATCAGGATATTTTACACAAAAATCTAGATCTATTTTCTTGAAAGCTTTTATTGAAGAATCAGAAGATCTGGTCTCATTGGGTCCCCATCCCTGTCAGGCAACCACCCGCTGGAGTGGGTCTCACTCCCCAAGCCCTGAAGGCCAGTGGGCTCTCTGGCCCTGAGCAAAGCTAGAAGCCCTCAGCCTCTTGTCAGGGTCTCCAGAGCACCTGGCCCAGGCCTGGTCCTTGGATGGATGCTGGGTTGATGAATGAATGAATGGAGAACAGATGAATGCAGCAAAAATGAGAGTAATAATGCCGCTCCCTGGGCCCCACTTTCCCAGAGAAGCATGGAGGTCCTGGTGTTTTGTAAACTTGGAAGTGCCAGAGACGAGTGTGGTGGCTCACACCAGTAGCCCCAGCTCCTCAAGAAGCTGAGGCAAGGGGACTGCTTGAGCCTAGAGTTTGAATTCAGCCTGAACAACATAGTGAGACCTCATCTCTAACACAAAACAAAACAAAAACCAACTTGGAAGTCCTGGCAATAATAATAACAAGGAAATAAACATGTATGTAGCATTTACCAGGTGCCCAGCCCCGTTCATAGCAATTTTCTTCTGTTATCTACTTTGTTCCCCCACCCAGCGTGTAGGACCTCATCCCATCCTGGGAGCAGTATGCCACTTACAGGGCTGGTACCCAACTTAATTAATGCAGGTAAAGTGCCTAGAAAAGAGCCTGGCACCCAGCAGGTACCCAGCAAGTGCTAGCCATTGATGTACAAGTCAGGCGCTTCCACCAGCAGTGAGCTTGAGTGGTGCCCAGATGAGGCCGCCGAAGCTGGGGGAGGTTGAGAGACTCACCCAAGTTCACAGGATGATTGGTAGGGAACAGATGGAGAAATATGTGGCACTGGGGGCCCCCACCAGGGAGCCTGTTCTGGTGAGGGGCTGGGTACAGGGGCAGATCTCTGGGTAGAGCAGAAGGCTCTGGTCACGGGACCATAATTCTGGTCCTGGTTGGGGGTTTGGGCTTCCTCCACTCCCTTCCAGCCCTGCAGTCTGAACTCAGCACTCTCCCTCCTCGCTGACCCACCCAGCAGGCCCTCTCAGTGTAGCAACTCGCCTTACAGATGGGGACGCCAAGACCCAAAGGAGAGGCAGCCTGGCAGGGGAGAGGCCCCTGGGTCTCTGATCAGACCCTCCACATTCCAGTCCCAGCCCTGCTCCTTACTAGCCCTGAGACCCTGGCCAAGTCACTTAACTATGCTGGTTCTGGGTCCTCACCTTGTATGACCCGTCAGAAATGTGTACCCTGCCCCAGGCACCCGGCTCAGAACCTTGCATGTATCATTCCATTCATTCCTGACAGCAGCCTCATTCCATGCATGGGGACTCTGAAACGCAGAGAGGGGAAGCAGCTTTCCCGGGTTCACACAGCTAGGAGTGGATTCAGAGTCAGGACTCAGACCAAGGCCTGGGTGAGTCTAAAGGCTGTGTTCTTGAAGTGAAGGAAATAATATGGGCCTCATATAGTGGTTGTGAGAATGTAAGGAAATAATAATACAATAGTAGCTAATGTTTCCATCGCTTTTCGTTATTGGGCCAGGTGCTATTGTAAGCCTTTTTAACATATTACTAGTTTAATCCACACATCAATACTATTGACAGGCATCAGTGCTATTATCATCCCCCGATTATATATCAGGAAACTGAGGCACAGGGAAACTGAAGTGATTTGGCCAAGGTCACAGACAAGTGTGTGGTAGAGTCAGGGTTTAAATCCAAGCCTTCGGCTCCCAAGTCCTTATTTTTTTTACCCACTACTCATGAGCGCAGAGCACCAGCCTGATGGGACGTGCTGGATCTGAAATCCCCATGGGCTTTTCTCCTACCTCCAGCATTATGATGTCAGCAGCAGAGCCAGCAATGAGGACGCAGGGCTCAGGGATTCCTGTCCTAGACAGCTCCCCATCCCCCTCATTCCAGCCCCACCGTAGGATCTGGTTGGGTCTGGTTGGGTAAACAGGCCATCACCGCTGGGAAAGAGAAGTATCAGCCTAAGAACAATTCAGGAGCTATGCCATCCATCTCCCTAGAAACCTGGGGCAGGGCTGGTCCAGCTGATGCTGCCTGTTCTCCATCCTCACCAGGGCTGTCCCTCTCCCTCAGTTTCCAGAGCCTAGACCTGGGATCCCACAGCAGGCCCCGCGGAAGCCATGACCATACTGAACATACTCTTTGCCTTCTCCTGTCCTATATCCCACCATTCCAAGTCTTCTTAAGTGAGGAGACATCTCCAGCCTTGCTTCAATATGTGCTTTCCAACTTCTGCACCTGTTTTCCTGCGGTTCCCTCCGTCTGAAGGCTCTCCCACTCTCCTCTGGAAAGACTTCCATCTCCCTGCAGGTAGGGTTCATCTTCCCTTCCTCTGAAACTCCATGGATGCACAGCACCACACACCACTGTGATTGTCTTGTTTGTCTCAGCTCCTAGACTAGGCACCTAGTAATTTTACACAAACCCCTCCAAATGCACAGCAGCACACACCACTGTGATTGTCTTGTTTCTCAGCTCCTAGACTAGGCACCTAGTAATTTTACACAAACCCCTCCAAATGCACAGCAACACACTCAGAAGCATACAACCACACAGACGTATAGCAAAGCTCTCTTCACCTAGGGTACATCCAGACACCCCAAGGGCCGGTTTCACAAAGGCACAGGCACATACACATGACCCTCTAACCAGGACACCCGGGTACATGCTAATGGTGACGCAAGCAACAAGTTGACATCTGGGAGCTTAGACACACACACACAGGCACACACATAGCATACTTCCAAGCGCACACAGACTCAGCTATCCATACAAGATCACATGAAGAAATAGCCCTCTCCACACGTGGATATGCACACACGTACAGTCATGTAGAAACACATTCACATACAGAAGTGCCATCTGGTGTCGGTGCTGGGTCATTCCCAGGGTGGGCTGGGCGGACTGTGGCCTGAGGCTGGGAAGGCATCTCCTCGGAGACAGGTTGGGGGTTCAAGGGGCAGAGCCTGGGAAACCAGGCCACAATCCCTCGCTGGAGTTCACTCATGGAGGGGAAGAGAAATGATGTGTCTATTGGGCTCCTAGGGAGAATGGGGTGAGGGGTGGGGAGAGGGTGGTCCTGAGTGGGAGGGGGCCTCTTGGTCTGATTCCTGGCTCCGGTTTTCTTCTTGCCACTTGAGCTTCAAACCATCCCCAGCCCAGGAAGACCCTGTCCCCAGGCCTGGCTGCAGGCCATTGCTCCAGGCACTCTTGACAGCCTTGCCCCTTACGTAGTAAAAGACGGCATTTACCGGCATTTACTGAGCACAGGGCCAGACCCAGGGAGAACTTGCACCCCAAGTGCCTCACAGGTTCACCCTAGTCCCAGCCCGGCAATGCTGATACACAGATCACAATGTGCCTCACTTCAGGGATATCATCTCCCATGATGCTCTCCACACCTCTGACACCTAGGGATCATTCTGCCCATTTTCAAGAGGCTCAGAGAGGTGAAGGGAATTGCCTGAAGTGACCCAATCCTCCCAAGGTGTCTCCTGGTCCCTGGGCCCCAGGCTGGGGCTGGGTGTCCCTCAGTCCTCACCCACTACCCGGGAAAGTGGCAAAAGCCTTTTCCCGGTAGGGTAGGGGAGACAGCAGTATAGATGTTGCTGGACACAGCCCAGTGAGGAACCATAAACCATAAGGGCTGGAGATGGTGCATCAGGGACTACACATTCCACTCACAGCACCCACACAAGCAAGGGTGGGGAAGAGACCTCAGGGCTTTATTTGTAAGTGGGTATATTCGTCTGTTCTCATGCTGCTATAAAGACAGACATGAGACTGGATTATTTATAAAGAAAAAGAGGTTTAATGGACTCACAGTTCCATGTGGCTGAGGAGGCCTCACAATCATGGCAGATGAAGGAGGAGCAAAAGCACATCTTACATGGCAGCAGCCAAGAAAGCGTGTGTAGGAGAACTGCCCTTTATAAAACCATCAGATCTTGTGAGACTTAGTCACTATCACGAAAACAGCATGGGAAAAACCCATCCCCATGATTCATGTCCCTCCCACAACACCTGATTGTGGGAGCTACAATTCAAGATGAGATTTAGGTGGGGACACAGTCAAACCACATCAGTGGGGTACCTGGAAGTCATCTGGAAGTCATGACATTTCATTCACTCAGCACATATATTCATCCTGGAAACCCACTCCCTGACAGCCTCCTCCCCCTGTCCTGCACCGACCACCCCCACACCTATCCATACACACACTGCAGAGCCGGTAGGGGAGGAATAGCTCTGTGGTCTTGTGTGCAGGTGCTTCCTGGGTTCACACCCCAGCCTTGCCACATGTCCTACCTGTGTAACTTTGGGCAGGTGGCTCAATGTCTCCATGTGTCCAGTTTCTTTGTAAAATGAGGATGATGGAAGTACTTACCTCACTGAAGCTTAACTGAATCACAGGGGCCTGGCACATAGTAAGCTTTCAATCACTGTGAGCCATCACACCTGATTGTGGGAGCTACAATTCAAGATGAGATTTAGGTGGGGACACAGTCAAACCACATCAGTGGGGTACCTGGAAGTCATCTGGAAGTCATGACATTTCATTCACTCAGCACATATATTTATTGAGTCACCACCCTAGGAATGGAGGATGCAGCGGCAGACACACCAGAGGCCTTGCATCTGGGCCTGTGTACTGGTGGGGACACATCCAGCCCTGTGCTGGGGACCACCGTCTTGAGACTAGTCACTGCCACCAAACCTTCCTGTTCTTTCTCCAGTTTCAGGATACAGTCCAAGACGCTGGGCTTGGCATTCGAGGCTCCAGGAGGCGCCCTTTCCAGCCCCACTTCTGCCAGGCACTGCCCTGTGCTCTGTTCACAGCGACCTGTGAGCTGCATCCCCAGCCTGTGCCTCCTTACCCTGCTGTCTGCACCCGGTCCTGTCTGCCTGGAGCACTCTTCCCCCGACTTTCCCCACCCAGCTCACTCCCATCAGACTTCAAAACAGCTCCAGGCAGCCTTCCCTGGGCCCCAGGTTGGGCTAAGCCCTCTCCTCTGCAGTGTCACAGCCCGGTCTGTGCCACAGCCCTGATCCACTGGGTTGTCACAGTTTCCACCTCCAGCTGCCCCCAGGATGGGTCCCCAACATTACCCAGCATGCAGCCTGGCACAGGGGCCCTGGGTGGACCTGGATTGTGGGTGAGGTTTCAAGGCCCCTGGAAGATGGCTCCACAGGCAGTGAGAAGTGGAGGAGAGGACAGCGTGGGGACCACGACAGGTGAGGTGTGGGGTCCGGGGCACAGGGAGTCAGAGAGGCCAGAGGGGTCTGGGGACTGGGTGCTCCAGGGCTTGGTTCGTTGAGGTCCCAAGGACAGTTGCCCAGGCTGGTTCACAAGGTTGTCAAGGTCCAACCACAAACATCCCATGAGACTATGGCCAGGCTGTGGCCCCAGTATTAAAAATCTATATCGATTATGGAGGCCAGGTGCGGTGATTTACGCCTATAATCTTAGCGTGATCCTACCCTTGGGAGGCTTATGTGGGTAGATCACTTGAAGCCAGGAGTTCGAGATCAGCCTGGGCAACATGGCAAAACCCTGTCTCTACTAAATATACAAAAATTTAGTCAGGCATGGTGGCGGGCACCTGTAGTCCCAGCTACTCGATAAGCTGAGGCACAAGAATCACTTGAACCTGGAGGCGGAGGTTGCAGTGAGCTCAGATCGTGCCACTTCACTCTAGCTTGGACAACAGAGAGAGACTTGTCTCAAAGAAACAAACAACAACAACAACAACAAACCAAAACAAACAAAAAAACAACTAAAAACAAAAACAAAAAACAACTGTACCTATTATGGAATAATAGGTACATAAAAAAGAGATGCATGTTGCATTTTATAAGAAATGTTGGCCAAAATCATTTATTATCTACATTAGGACCTTTCTGAGAAAGTAAAGGCTTACACTGAATAATTATGTTGAGACAACAGGTGTAAACCAAGATTGTCCTAGAAACACCAAAAGTATGGCCATCATTATGAAGCATTGTAATAATGAGCACCTTTGAACCCAACTTCAGCATGAGAGCATGACCAATGCTGTGAGCTTCTTCCTTGTCCCATTCCCCTGCCTTCCCTACAGAAGTAACTACTACCTTAAATTCTGTGACTCATTTTCTCATTAAAAACAAATAAACATACTTTTATCACATATGTATGAAAACCTAAACAATATCATTTAATTTTGCTTGTTTCGAAGCCTTACAAGTGTCAGATCCTGTTGTATGTAGTCCTCTGCAACAGGCTTTTCTCACTCCGCATTATAATTCTATGATTCCTTCTTGTAGTCGGCCACAGCTATGATAGACTCACTGCCACTGCTGTATAGGATTTCATTATATGGTGATGCCACAATTAATTCATTTTACTGTTAAGGACATTAGGGTGGTTTCCATGTTTTTATCACAATAAACAGCACTGCTATGAATATCCTTGCTCCTGTCTCTGGGTGCTTGCATGCATGTGTATCTCTAGGGTTTACACTTAGTAATGAAATCGCAATATTCTAAAGCGGTTTCAGCAATTTACACTGCATTAAGAGCATATAAGGATCCCCGCTGATTCCTGCCTCTGCCATGCTTGCCACTGTGGGACTCCTTTTCCATGGAAAATCTTCCTGTGGTCTTAATTTACATTTTCCTGATTTCTATAAGGCTGAGAGTCTTTTCTTGTGGTTTATTTTTCATTCATATTTTTCTGCTGTGAAATTCTCATTCATATATTTCGCTCTTTTTTAATTGAGTTGTCTTCTTACTGATTGGTAAGAATTCTTTATGTATTCTGGATAGTAATGCTTTGTGCATTATTTGTGCTATAATATATTCTCCCAGTTTGTGACTTGTCTTTTCAACAATCAGAAAAAAAATTAACTTGGACAAAGAAGAGATTAGGCATGGTGAGAAACACTTCAACAGAAACAACAGTAAAACATTACTAACATCCTCAAAGAAATAAGAGAAAATATTGCATCCATGAAAAAAGAACGAGATACTCTAAAAAGCAGAATAGTCAAAGAACAAACAAAAGGCTTTTGGAAATACGATAAGATACATTTCTGAAAAACAACAAAAAACTGTTGAAGAGTTGAAGAAAATTTCCAGAATGAAGAGCAAAACGGGATGAAAAATAGGTGAAAAAAAGATATAAGAAATATAGAGAACTGGTCCAGGAGGGCCAGTATTTGAATAATTAAGGAGTTCCTGAAAGAAAAAATAAAATCATTATAGAGGTACTTCTTTTAAATTTTCTCCAAAATGAAGATGATTAGTTTGTCGGTGAGGACTCACTGGGTGCCCAGCACAGTGAATGGAAATCGATTCACTTCAGGACACACTAAGGCTGAGCAGGCATGGTGGTATGAGCCTGTAGTCCCAACGACTCAGGGGGCTGGGGCAGGAGGATCCTCGCGCCCAGGAGGTCAAGCCTGCAGTGAGCGATGGCTGTGTCACTGAACTCCAGCGTAGGCGGCAATGAGATCCCTTCTCTTAAAAGAAAAGACCTACTGAGGACACAGCTTCCAGAAAGAGAGAACAGAGTCTCTACAGAACAGCCTTGGACTTTTCAGCAGAAACTAGAAGACAATGGAGCAAGCCTTCAAAAGTCAGAGGGAAAAATATTTCCAGTTTAGGAATTTATACCTGGTCAAACTATCTGATTAAATGTGAGGCACTTTTAGAAATGCAAGGTCTTAAGATTTCACCTCAAACACATCCTTTTAGAAAAGTATAGGTATATATGTGGCCAGGCGTGGTGGCTCACGCCTGTAATCCCAGCACTTTGGGAGGCCAAGGTGGTTGGATCACCTGAAGTCAGGAATTTGAGACTAGCCTGGACAACATGGAGAAACCCCATCTCTACTAGAAATACAAAAATTAGCCAGACATGGGGGCATGCACCTGTAGTCCTAGCTACTTGGGAGGCTGAGGCAGGAGAATTGCTTGAACCCGGGAGGTAGAGGCTGCAGTGAGAGGAGGTCACACCACTGCATTCCAGACTGGGCAACAGAGGGAGACTCCGTCTCAAAAAATAAAATAAAATAAATAAATAGGTAAATAAAAAATAAAACAAAAAGAAAGCTATGGGTATATGTTCCCCCAAATAAGGCAGTCAACCCAGAAGGGGAGGACATGGGATCCAGCAAGTGAGGGGTTCGACCCAGGAGAAAAGTGCAGAACAGTCTCCAGGTGACAACCAGGGCAGCTGGCCTTGTCATCAACCAGTCCAGGACATGGCAGTCAGAAATCCAAAGGGAATTCTTCAAGAGGAATAAGTTGGTAGAATACGGTAGTCCTCCATTATCTTCGGGGATGCGTTCCAATACCCCCAGTGGAACCTGATTACCGTCAATCAGAACACGTTTCTGTTCGTGTCTAGCACCCACAAATTTAATGCCTTTTCCATCATTACTAAGCATTCATCACACACAGGTGTTGTAACTTTTGCAGCTTGAGGTGCAACAGCAAAACTAGCACAAATTTCTTTCCTTCTTCACAATTTCATGAATAGAATCATTCTTACTGTAGATCTTAGCAACCACAGCACACAATTTTGTTTTTTAAATTTTCTTATTAAGTCAAGTACTTTCACCTTTCTACTTAAAGGAAGTACTTTACAGCTTCCCTTTGGCATATTGGAATCACCAGCAACACTCCTCTTGCACTTTGGGGTCCGTAATGAAGTAAAATAAGAATTACTTGAACAGAAGCGCTGCGATCCTGCGACAGTTAATGCAGTAACTGGGGCGGCTGCTGAGTGACTGATGGGAGAGTAGTGTCTACAGCGCGGATCCACTGGACAGAGGGATGATTCACATTCCAGGTGGGACGAAGCCAGACAGCACAAGATTTCATCGTGCCACTCAGAATAGCACGCCACTGAAAACTTACAAATTGTTTATTTCTGGAATTTTCCATTTAAAATTTTTGGACCATGGTTGACCTCAAGTAAATAAATCTGCGGAAAGTGAAACTTCGGATAAGTGGGGATTACTGTATTGAATGTGGGTGATTGTAGTAGGAGGAGATTTACACAAATGAGGGAGAGTTTAGGGAGGAAGGAGAGATAAATACATAGAAAACTAAGAAAGAAACAAAGCAATAAAGCAAAATATAACAATTATTAATTCCAGGGAAAACACAAAGGCATGCAGGAAAAAAGTATTCATCATGGCACACTACAAATAGCATTTACTTTATTATGACCACATAGAAATATTTTCGGAACATGACACCAAATGCACAGACAACAAAAGAGAAAATAGATTGAACTACATCAAAATTGAAAAATTCTGTGTATTAAAGGACAGAATCAATAAAGTGAAAAGGCTGCCAATGGGATGGGAGAAAATATTAACCCCTGATAAGGGGTTAATAGCTAAAATATATAAGAATTCCTACAACTCAACAACAAAAAACTAAACAGCCCAATTGAAAAATGGGCAAAGGACTTTAATAGACATTTCTCCAAAGAAGATATACACATGGCCAATAAGCATATGAAAATATGCTCAGTATCACTAATTATCAAGGAAATGCAAATTAAAACCGCAATGAGAAAAAAACCTCACATTCGTTAATATCTGTGTTAAAACAAGCAAACAAACAAAAGCAGAAAATAACAAGTTCGGGCCAGGACGTGGAGAAACTGGAATTCTTACACATTGTTGGTAGGGACATAAAATGATACAACTGCTGTGGAAAACACTATGGTGGTTCCCCAAAAAATAAAAACTAGAATCACAGTATGATCCAGCAATTCCACTTCTGAGTATATTCAAAAGAACTGAAGGCAACGACTTGAAGAGATATGTGTACACTCATGTTTATAGCAGCATTATACACAGTAGCTAAAATGTGGAACCAACCCAACTGTCCCTTGATGGATGAATGAAGAAAGAAAATGTGGAATAGACATACAATGGAGTATTCCGATCCTTAAAAAGGAAGGAAATTGTGACATGCGCTACAACATGGATGAACCTTGACACTGTTATGCTAAGTGAAATAAGTCACTCACAAAAGGATAAATATTGTATGATTCCACTTACATGAGGTGCCTAGAGTAGCCAAATTCATAAATACAGGAAGTAGAATGGTGGTTTCTGGGGCTGGCAGGGAGGAAGAAAGGGGATTTCCAGGTAGCTCATCCCTATACTCCCAGCACTTTTGGAGGCTAAGGCAGGTGGATAGCCTGAGCTCAGGAGCTCAAGACCAACCTGGGCAACATGGTGAAACTCTGTCTCTTTAAAAAGACTTAAAAAAAAAAAAAAATTAGCTGGGTGTGGTGGTGTGCATCTGTAGTCCCAGCTACTCAGGAGGCTGAGGTGGAAGGATTGCTTGAGCCTGGGGCTGGTGGAGGGTTGGGGTGGGCAGAGGTTGCAGTGAGCTGAGATGGCACTGCTGCACCCCAGCCTGGGTGACACAGAGAGACCCTGTCTCAACCAATCAATCAATCAATCAATAAAAGTATAAAAAACAATTTTAAAAATAAAAACTAACCCAAAATAAAAGCAAACAGAAAAGTACTGAGTCTGCCCCCGAAGGCCATGTGACTCAGGGGGTGGGCACCCAGGGCCTGAGCCACCTGCAAGTCACCTTGAGGAATGCCTGTCATCATGGGCAGAGTGGTCAGGGCTCCTGCCCTCCAACAGTCCTGGAATAAACAGGGAGCTCAGAGCTGATGGCCCTTAGAGAAAAGAGACATATCTGGGTGCACAGAGGCCCATTGTTTACGTGAATAGCCACACATTTATTTTAATATGTATTGAAAAAAGATAATGAGCATATCAAGCCTGTGATTTCATGGAGGTTATTGCTTAGGATGAAGCTAAATCTACTAAGTGAAAGGATTTAAGGGGAACCCTGGGATGACAGTAGCAGGTAAGGGGAAATAGAGAAAGTCACTCAAGCAGATGGGAATGGTTGCAGTTACAAGAAATACTGACCTAGTTCAGCCCCTTAGGTTAGGGATGGACACCCCAGGCCTAGAGAGGGAGAAGGACCCACTCAGTCTCCTACATGAGGCAGCGGAGGAGGAGGCAGTTGTGAGCCCACCCTCCTGAAAGCACACGGCCAGGAGGCAAGAAACTGAGGCTGGGTCTGTCCTGCTAATCTATGAACCCCTGAACCACCTTCATCCTCTCCTTTCCTTGCAAAATGAAGGGATTCTGCAGTTAATAGCAATAATGTAGCTAATATTAATGGTAACTGTAGATAATTCTTGTGGAGTTCTTACTTACTATGTGGCAGGAACAACCACAATGGCAATAATAATAGCAATGACTTATATAGTGTGTACTTAAGTTCTTAGGAGGGTTTTTAGTACATAGTACACACTATATAAGTGTATACATAGTTGGCCCTCTCTATCCATGGGTTTCGAATCCTGGATTCACTCAATTTCAGATCAGAAATATTCAGGAAAAAATAATTGCATCTGTACTGAACATGTACAGCCTTTTTATCCTTGTCATTATTCCCTAAACAATACAATGTAACAACTATTTACATAGCATTTACATTGCATAGGTATTATAAATAATCTAGAGATGATGTAAAGTATATTGGAGGATGTGTATACATTATATGCAAATACTGCATCATTTTCTATCAAGCACTTGAGCATCTGAGGATTTTGGGATCTGCAGGAGGTCCTGAAACCAGTCCCCCATGGATACAGAGGGAGGACTGTATTAATTCATCCTCACAAATCCTACGACAGTGTGTGGCAGCCAGACTCCAAGACAGCCCCCAGATAGACCTCCTGGGAGTCACACCCCTACGTAGTTCCCTTCCACATAGAATAGAGCTGGCCTATGTAACCAACAGGATATTGCAGAGATGAGGGAGCATGACTTCCATGGTCAGGTCATACAAGACATTGTGACTTCATTGCTTTCTCTTTCTTTGATCAGTCTCCCTAGGGAAAGCCAACTATGTCATGTGGACACTCATGCAGTCCTCTGGAGTGAGCCACATGGTGAAAAATGGAGTCCTCCTGCCACCAGCCAAAAGGGACTTGCCAGCCTTGTGAGTGAGCCGGCCCAGACACTCTAGCCCCAGTTAAACCTTCAGAGGACTGTGGCCTCACCAACATCTTGACTGCAACTTCATGACAGACCCAGAGCTACACCCAGGCAACCAGGCTGCTCCCCAATTCCTGGCCCACAGACACTGTGAGAGATAATAAATGTTTATTTCTGTTTGAAACTGCTAAGTTTTGGGGTAATGTGTTTGTAGCAATAGGTAATTGATAGCATTAGGAAACATTAGCTAATGCTATCAATGTTTTGCAGATGAGGGAATTGAGGCATAAAAGTAACTTTCCCCAGGTCACACAGGTAACAAGTGGTTTAAACCATGGCAGTTTGGATCTATGTAGAGTTCAGTAATAAATTAGAATCTCTCTTTTACAGGAATCAGGACACTTTGCCAGCTCAGAAGGAGAGAGGGAAAGAGACAGACACACACACAGAGAGACAGTGACACGGAGAAGTGCGCCATGGGCTCACAGTACCATGTGAACGACTGGGGCTGCACTTGTGTAAAGTGAAGGCAGTGGAGAAGTGAAGTGAAGTGAAGTGAAGTGAAGTGTAAGTGAAGTGGAAAGTGAAGGACGGTGGAGAGCACCCTTGCCCTTGCAGCTTGGCTGTGATTGGCTTGGGGCTGCTGGTCTCTGACCCTGGCTGGGCTGGTGACACAGCCTAAGGTACCTGGGGTGGGGGAGAATCTGACGCCCCTGTGCAGACCCCTCCCCGGCTCCCGTCCCCCTGTGCTGACACTGTCCGTCCCAGGCTCTCTTTGCCTCCAGACCAGAGCTCCTCCAGGGAAGAGGTGGAGTCTTATTCATCTGTGTCCCTTGCCTAGCACAAGGCCTGCCAGAGCAGGCTGGGCCAGGTGAGCACAGAAGGCCCTCTGGCCCTGGCCTCGGAGAGGCATCATCAGTGGGGACAGAGCGAGAACCAGGATGATCCTGTTTCTGACTGGAGGAGCTCCCATTGGATGGATGAGCCAACAACGACAGTCCAGTGTGATCAGGGAGATTGGGACACACAGTGCCGTGGGGGCCCAGAGGAGCAGGGAGGATCTCTTTGGAGGAGACTAGAAGGCTTCCCAGAGGAGGAGGCATTTGAAGTGAGGCCCAAATAGTAAACAGAAGCCAACCCATGCAGGAGTGTTTTAGGCAGAGGGCACGGCCTAGCAGAGAGCACAGCCTGGCAAAGGTCTGAAGCTCCAGTTCCTGGGGGGTAGAGTGAAAGAGTAGAGCGTGCAGAGAGTAGGCTGCTGGGGCTCCCATGGCTCTGGAGGCCAACATGGGACTTGGGAGTGGCAGGGCACCATGCTGACAGCAGGTGAAATGTCACCTACATCTGTCTCATGGGGAATTCATTACATTTGGGGTTGGGTTTGGGAGTTTTCTTTGGAAACCCAGGGTAGGGAGGATCTGTAAGCTTGAGTCCGTCCAGGATGGAGAGGGAGGGTAGGGGAGGACTGGAAGTCACCTGGGCAGCAGAAGTTTTACCGGGACCTCAGTGTCCGTTTGGTGTCTTGTGTTCTTGTGTGTTTCAAGGACTGAGCTTTCTCCCTTTGCCCCTCACAGAAATTAACCAGTTTATGTGCCCCGAAAAATTCCCACCCTCTGGGTTTGCACACTGGGTCAGTCACTTACTAGCTGTGTGACTTCTCTGCTGCTTAGTTTACTCATCTGTAAAATGGGATAAACACAAAACCTGCCTCATAAAGATATTGTAAGGATTAAACAGGGAAAAGAATGTAAAACATTTAGAATGGTGCCTGACCCCCAGCAAGTATAAAATAAATATTGGCTATTGTTATTATCTTACGTGGTTTTCTTTTAACTTTTTGAAGTAAAGATAACTTACCTAACGCTTGTTATGTGTCAATCCTTGTATTTATCCTCTGAAGACAAAGATGAGGAAGGCATAGTCCTCCTAGGGGTACAAAAGCCTTCAATAAAGGCAGAAACAAGCATTGGTCAAATGTGCCCTGTGCCAAGAATCCAGGAATGCAGGAGAGCGGGCTCCTGTCCTCCGGCAGCTCGCAGAGTGACGAGGGAGACAGTTGCATAAGCAGACTGTGGCAACACAGGGTGGTCAGGGCTGTGACAAAGGGAAACCCAGGGACTGCAGGAGCCTAGGGAAGTGGCCCAAAGTGGGTGGAGGCTGAGAGGAGCCAGGAGAACCTCTGCTGGGGGGCTGTTGAGAGACAAGGAGTTGCCCACTTTGGCAACTGGCTGTGTGTGTTGATAGTGCGCACAAGGACTCCCCTGGGGAGGTCGGGGGATGCCTGGGCTCAGTCTTGATTCTGGGTATTGGAAAGCCATCAGGGGTTTGTGAACAGGCAATTGCGTTTGAATAACAGTAACAGTAACTAACATTTCTCATGCAGCTACAATATACTGTATGATGTGCATGCACAATCTCATCTCATATCCTTACCCTATGAGGTGAGTACTGCCACCTTTTTCATTTTTCACATTTAGAGACTGAGTCACAGAGATTGAGTTGCCCAAGTTCACATAACTAGAAAGGGAATGAACAGACTCAGACCCAGGCAGTCTCACCCCCAGGCCCATGCTCTCCATCTCTCTCTCTGTCTCTCTTTTTTTTTCCCTCCTTCCTTCCTTCCTTCCTTCCTTCCTTCCTTCCTTCCTTCCTTCCTTCCTTCCTTTTCTTTCTTTCTTTTTTTTTTTTTGAGACAGAGTCTCTCTCTGTCGCCCAGGCTGGAGTGCAGTGGTGCGATCTCAGCTCACTGCAAGCTCTGCCTCCCGGGTTCACGCCATTCTCCTGCCTCAGTCTCCCGAGTAGCTGGGACTACAGGAGCCTGCCACCACGCCCGGCTAATTTTTTGTATTTTCAGTAGAGACAGGGTTTCACCCTATTAGCCAGAATGGTCTCAATCTCCTGACCCCGTGATCTGCCCGCTTCGGCCTCCCAAAGTGCTGGGATTACAGGTGTGAGCCACTGCGCCTGGCCTCTTTTTCTTTCTTTTCTTTTCTTCATCTGCTGCCTGTAAACTTTAGCCCACACACTAATCTTACAGTTGGAATGAACCTCAGAAATTCCTTATCGTTTCCATTTCCCAGATGAGAAAGTGAGACTCGGAGATAGGATTGACTTTCCTACGACCACAGAGTGGAGGAGAAGGAGGGACTGAGTGGGATAAGCCAGTTTGGGCGGCAAGACAGGCTTCTATCTTTGTCTCACAGTCCCAGGCACCATTGTGCTTGACACAGAATCCAAACTCCCAGCTGTGGCCTACAAAGCCCTGGTGGTCAGGCCCTTGCCAACTCCCTCCAGCCTCACCTGAGGCACCCACTCCTTCCCGGTCACCAGGCCCCGGCCCACCTTGAGGTCTCTGCATTGCCGTTCCCTCTGCCAGGAGCACCCTTCCGCTGGATCTTCACGGGGCAGGATCCATTTTGCCATTCAGTGGAATGTCACCTCCTCCGGGAGGCCTTGCCCGATCACTTACTCTACAGTTACCCCCATTGCTCTCACATCGGTCTGTTGTTTTTTCCATAGAAGTTATGATGACCTGAAATAATCTTTTGTTTTCCTGATTTTGTGTGTATCTCTTCCAACTAAGACATAGCTGCAGGAGAGCATGGAGGGACCTTACCTGTTTCCACACTGTATCCTTGAGCCTTGAACAGCGTTTGGCACATATAGGTGATAGTACGCCTGCATTTCTGTGTGCTAATGGTCTGTCTCCCCACCAGTCAGGGACCTCTCTGGGGCTGGCACCATGCCTGATTCACCTTGGCACCTGCAGGCCCAACACAGGGTTGGCACAGAACAGGGCCTGAAATGCTTGCTGAATGACTGAATGAACAAGGGACAGAAGGAGTGATGATGGCAGGAGCACCGTGCTGGGCTCTCTGGGGGTCTAAGTCCCTATCTGGTGGGGTAGCCACAGACATTGCCACTGGACTGCCCTTTGGGGGACTAGGGCTCAGGAGGCTGCTGATGAGACAGGGTGGTTTCCAAGTCAAGGGCTAATAGCACCCGCCCGTCTGTGAGGCAGGTGAAGGGGCAAGAGGGGAGGCAGGGTGGACCTAACACTGGCTCTTGGCACCTGCGGGCCAGTTGTTTTGCGTGGCCAATGCCCTGGAATCTCATTCTCTAAAGAAGGTTGTGTGGGTTGGACCCAGCTCACAAGTCTGAGGCTGAAGTCGAATCCCAGCTCTGCTCTCCGCACCCGTTCTCCCCAGCGTGGGTGAGGTGGGCTGCAGCCCTCCAGAGGAGGCGCCTTCTTACCGCAGAGGACAGCAGGGGCGGACAGCAGGGGCCTAGGTGCGCGGCCCCTAGCGGCAGGGATGGCATCCCTTCCCTGCCCTCCCCCTCCCCCCTCTCCGTCCCTCCAGCCCCACCAGACCTCGCCTTTCTCCATCACAGCGAGGAATCCTTGTCGTCCCTGCGGGCCCCCCTGATTGCCCCTCTGCTTAGGCGCCTGGAGCGTACTTAACGACGATGAATATAGTCTGTGCACCAGGCCCAAGCCACCTACCTCACGTCCCCGCCCATGATCACATGAGCGTGGAACACGCACAGATGCACATGGGCACGGAAACCAAACCAGCCACAGGGATTTATAATATCCCAGCCAGAGCCCATGACCGGTGCAGGGGTCCAGCCCTGCGCCCCCAGTTTCTCCCTGTTCATCCACATCTTGGTACCCCACCCCTATCCCTCCCTCCCCCGCCCCACGCGCACACTGCACAGGCCTATTCACACTGGAACATCATTTCCCCTCCCGCCCAGGCTCACTCCTAGACATCCCTCAGCCTTTCATCGGCCTGTCACCTCCTCCAGGAAGCCTCTGCTGCCTCCTCTGAACCTGCTACCTCCGGGGTCAGGGGCTCCCCTGGCCCATCCCTGCGTCTACAGAGCCCAGCACTCAGGCGAGCCCCGAGCAGGGCCGTGGAGCGCCCGCTGAGAGAAGAGTGGACGAAGGCTAGGAAGGAGGAGGGCGAGGAGGCGGCGGCAAGGGGAGCGTGGGGCGGAGGCGGCAGCGGGAGGGAGTGCGCGCGCCGGCGGCGGCAGCGCAGGGCCGGGGCCGCGCGCCCAGCCTGAGCCCGCCCCGCCGCCGAGCGTCACCGAACCTGCTTGAAATGCAGCCGAGGAGCCGGGGCGGGCGGCAGCGGCGGCGGCGGCGGCGGCGGGGGCAGCGGCAGCCCCGGCGCCGCGGCAAGGACTCTGAGGACTGAGGCGCGGCGGCGGCGGCGCGGGGAGCGCGGGGCGCGGCGGCCGGAGCCCCGGGCCCGCCATGGGCCGCCCCGAGCGGGGCGCGCTCCGGCCGCTGGCGCTGCTGCTGCTGCTGCTGCTGCTGCAGCTTCAGCATCTCGCGGCGGCAGCGGCTGATCCGCTGCTCGGCGGCCAAGGTGCGTGCGGCCGGTTCCTGCCTCGGCTCTGCGCCGCCCTAGCCACCAACAAAGCGCGGCCTAGAGGCCGGGGGAGGGTCAGAGTGGGGAGCTTCCCGAACCAGGGGGCCATCGGGGGCGCCGGGATGGACAAGCTCCCCGCGACGCGGCTATTCCTGAATTTGGCCTCTGCCCCCCGCCCCCGCGGGCCTCCGTGTTGAGGGCTCTGCCCTCTGGGCAGCGGCTCTTGGGGGAGGGGTGCAGGGGGGCTTGGCCAGCGGGGAACTTTGCCGAAGGGGAGGCCATTCATGGTTCATGATGAGCTGTGTGATTCTCGCCGTTGGGGCTTATTTGACACGCGCGCTCCGCGGCGGTAATGAGCGGAACCAGGCGGCTTCTCCGCTTCACAATGCGTTTCCGCAGACCCCTGCGCGCGGCGGAGAGAGGGGGCTGCCTGCCAGGGTGATGTGCCCGCGGCTCCCAATGCGCGTGGCGCGCGAGTGCGGGGACTCCCTATGGGCTGTGTCTGCGCGGATCTCTAACTATGGGTCGCGTGTGCGGGTGAGTGGGTCTGAATGGAGGGTACACCCAGGTCGTGTGACACTGTAAGTAGGTGCCTGGTCTCGCCGTGCCACCGAAAGGCCCGACATCCACGGAACCCCTGCCGTCGTACCCCCTTTAGAAGGAGTGTACCCGAAGTCCCGGGGTCTCTATAATCACCCCCTTTCCTCCTCCCCAGCGGGCCTTTCCGGGTGGCCCAGGCCGCATGGTGGGGAGCGGGGCCGAGCCCGCTGATCCAGCTCACGCTCCCTCCCCCCGCAGGACCGGCCAAGGAGTGCGAAAAGGATCAATTCCAGTGCCGGAACGAGCGCTGCATCCCCTCTGTGTGGAGATGCGACGAGGACGATGACTGCTTAGACCACAGCGACGAGGACGACTGCCGTGAGTGGCGGGCCGGGTAGCTCAGACCCGGGGAGAGAAGAGGAACGGTGGGGGAAACCATGCTTGGCGCGCACTTGGCTGCAGCCGCGGCGCTGCCACCTGCGCGGGCCTTGCCGCTGGAGCCTGCGACCGGGAAACCGCCTGGGCGCCGCCTCCCTTGGGGCCGGGTGGCTCTTAGCGACCCGGAGAGGGCAGGAAAGCTGGCGTGTCCTGGTGGGGCCTGGGGAGGAGGGCGCACCAAGCTGGGGAGGCTAGACCGAAGCTGTGGGCGGGGACGTGGCAGTCCCTGCAAAGTCTGGATTCCCGAAACACTGCCCTCTCGGACTCCTGCCTCGGCCCCGCGGGACGCGCGCGTGTTTCAAAGTTCCACGCAGCTCTGGGCCGCACTGCGCTCCTATTCCTGCTCAGTTTTTGTGAATGAATGGGCTCCCCAGGGCCCCTGATTGGCTGGGCGAGGACCACCCCATAGGCCCCCGTGGCCGGAGCGGCCAATCGCGGAGCAGACG